ACAGTAAATATAAAACCTGCTTTATCTCAATTCTAAATCCAGGCACAGCATGACAAGGACAAGAAAGGATCAGGTTCTCCTGTGAATTTATTTATTTATTTTAATGAACATTATAATTTCTAGGTGCTTCCATTGTCTCAGAATTGTCTCAATTCTGTCATTCTTTATAACAGAGTAGTAGCCCATTGTGTATATATTTTCTTTAGCTAATCATTTATTGATGTGTACATAGGCTATTTCTAGGATTTCACTAGTATGAGTTGGGCCACCATGAACATTGATGCACATGTATCACTGTAGAATGATGCTTTCAGCTCTTTAGGGAAAATACCTAGCAGGGGAATATGGAATTCCTAATTTCTGTTCTTTAAGAAATCTCCATTGGTCTCCATAGTGGTTTTACCAGGTTGAATTCCCACCAGTAATGATAGATAATTCCTTATTCACCACTGCCTTGCCAGCCTTTGTTTTTGTCTGTTTCTTAAAATTTGCCATTCTTTCTGGAGCGAGATGGAATCTGCGTTGCTTAAGTTTGCACTTCTCTCATGATCAGAGATTGGGCATTTTTTCTGTGTCTGTTGACAATTTCTATTTTTTTTCTATGTGCAGGGTCTGTTTCTTTCTCTTACCCATTTTGCGACTGAATCTTTAATGTTAGGTGGCTTTATTATTTTTTAAAGTTCTTTATATGCTCTAGATATTAGTCCTGGGGTTGGAGAGATAACTCAGTGGTATGTACTTGCCTAGAGAGTGTGTGGTACTGAGTTCGATTCACCGTATAAAAAATTAGGATATTAGTCCACTGGATCTTCCATGTAGAGTGTCATGTAAAGTAGATCTTCCATGGCAATGAGTTCCTCCTTTCCTAGCTGCATCTTATTCTTTTTTCTTTTGCATGATTGCTCTGGCTAACATTTCAAGTGCTATGTTGAAGAGAAAAGGTGATAGTAAACACTCTTGTCTTGTTCCTGATTTTAAAGGGAATACTTTCTTGATTTATTTCATAATCTGGGTAATTTTGTGTTATTTTATGGTTTCCTTGCTTACTATTAAGTTGTTACTTTTGTGTACCTTTTTTCCCACTGACTCTGATTTAATAAGCATTTAGGTTGTCTCCTTTGTCTCAGCTCCCTATCTCATCTCTTCATTTCAAATTTATGAGAAAATATTATTAACATACTTCTTTAATATTTCTCCAAACAGATGAATGCATGCTCCAAATTTTTTAAATTCCCCTTACTTAGCTTCCTTCCAGACACTCCTATCTTTTCTAGTATCAACCCTCAGTGCCCCCATCCTAAGCTTGTCTCTTCCATACCCTACATATCTCATTATCCTTCCTATCAGCAAATTGTGATAAGCACATAGGCTTCTCAATCACAAAGTACACCTTTCTTCTATATCTTGCCCTTGCTCCATCAAACATTCTCTGAAAACTCACATTGATAAACTTTCAACTCAACTGAAAGTACCCCTGGTGAAGTCAGATCCCCACTTCAAACTTATCTTCTCATCTACTATTCTTCCCCATTCAAAACTCCCTCTGAAAGTCTAAGACTTCTCATCAAACTCTCTCCCATTCTCTCCACCCCTCCTCTTGTATCTAATGGCAGAGCATCCACAAAAAATAAAGTATTATACTACACTAATATTAGACAAAGGGAGATTATCTGCAAGGACAGTCATATAGAAGTGCTCTAAGTCTGAATCTGTGGCTGCTGTTATAAGCAGAACTAATTCTTTTGGGAAAAAATTGGACATAATTGGAATCACTTTAAGTTAGTAATAGAGGAAGTAAAAACTGGCACTGGACATACAAAGCCAAAAATTACTCATGAGGAGGCAAACTCAAACTGATAACTGGTCCATGAAGGTCACAAAACTTTTTGACTTCTTTCATCCCCAAAGTCCAGTAGCTCTCAAAACAGGAAAGGAAAATAGAAAAACGAGAAATTCTCGTAGAGGAATGGGGAAACAAGAAAATAGGTCTTCAAATGCCTCCAACTCTCCTGAGGAAGAGCAAGGTGTCACAAAGGGAAACAAACAAATATTAGGTAGCAGAAATATCTGAAAAGAGCGAGGAAGTGATGAAGAAAATAGATGAATTCCAAAAGGAAATGAATAAAAAGTTCCCAGGAATATCACTTAGCATGCCCTTGGTGAATTTCAGGAAAATTAGAAAAAAAAAAATGCACAGGAGTTAACTAAAACAAGATCAAAATCTGAATAACAGATTCAACAAGAATGCAGAATTCTAGAAAATATGTCAGACAGAAATACCTGAAATAAAAAACTGTTGGAGAAACATCAAAGTGAAGGCAAGGTGTCTGATATCAAGGTCAAAATAGTGTATTACAATTAAAAGCTCAAAAAAGCCTAATAAGAGAACAAGAAGAGACTATCCAGCAGCTCCTGGAAGATAACAAGAAGGCCAATCCAAGGCTGGTCAGAATTCAATAAAAACTAGAAGGTAATGCAGATGGATTTACTAATGCTTACAGACATCATAAAACAAAAATCCAAATATAAGAAGAGTTTAAGATACACTTATGGATGCCTATAGAACACCATACAAATCAGGATAAAAAATGGAGCTCACCAAGAGATATGCTTAAATTAAGAAATATTAAGCCAACCGCCAAAAAAAAAATCACAGAATTTTAAAGCAGCTACAAAAAAGAAAACAACCCCACCCCCCAAAAAATCCCATGTAAAGATAAATACCCATCTCTGACAAAGGTGTCTTGAAGAAAAAATGGGATATAAATGATCATTTTGCATGTGTATACACAAAATAGATAGGATAGATATATAGCCACTTTCTCTTAATTCAGTGAGAAGAAAGATTTGTACTAATAGTGTTTGGACAGGACATCATGTCTGCGTCTTGTACTGTGAACAGCTAGTATGAAGACAACAATATGTAATGTATTAATTATTGTAACTGTCCTACTAACCTGCTTTGAAACTATGCCATTGCTCTTTGTATCTCAATAAAATTAAGTAAAAAATAAAGTATAAGAAATAAATAAAGTAAAATACTCATCTACAGACTAAAAAAAAAAATCAAGCAAACATCTTAACACAAACGCTAAAGGTTAGAAGAGCTTGGAGCCTATATAGTTCAAGACCTGAAAACAAATACATTCCAACCCAGATTGGTGCATCCTGCAAAGCTATGCTCAAAACAGATGGAGCCATATTTTCATGAAACAGACCAGATCAGAAGAGATATTAGTGTTAAGCCAGCTGTGGAGGAAAGTCTTAAGGTCTTCTCATGAATTTAAGTCCATAATTTCTTAATAGTGGCAAGTTAGACACAACAATTTATTTAAAAAAGAGTTATATACTACAACCACATAAGATTTACTCAGGGAATCTATTGTAACATTTTCTAAGCAATCAATATAATTCAGCATATTCAATGATATCTCAAAACACGTATTAAAATAGCATTTGATAAATTTTGATAAATTTGACATATAGCAATAACATATTAATGAAATTAACCATCAATATACAAGTGGAAACTATATTCTGTCACTTAATGAGTGATAGCCACAGAAACACTATGAGATCCTGCTTAATTAGGAAAAAACTGACACTGTTCCGCAGGACTGGGATCTTCTACCTTGCTGGCTTTCACTTCTCTGGACAACTTTTTGATGGGGGATTTAGTGAGGTCAGCAGACCAGAGAAAGCAGTATGCACAGTAAAGCTTTCATTTGCAGAATACCTACTTGCCTGCAAAATAAAAGCAAGGAAACAACATCTATGGAATACACATATAAAATAAATTACTAGAAAAAAGTGAATTTATTATGGTTAAGATATAGATCAATATATAAAATTAAATTACTACATAAATTCGAGTAAAAATTGGACGGTTTAAAATACTACATAGGATATCATGTCTACATCTTGTCCTCTAACTACTATGAAAACAACAATATGCAGTGTATTAATTATTATAACTGCCTCACTAACCTGTTTTGAAACCGTTTGATAGCTTTTATCTTTTTCCTCATTAAAAAATATAATTAAAAAAATAAAAATAAAATAAAATACTACATAGGGCCAGGGAGATGGCTCAGTGGAATAAACGCATCCCTGGCAAGCGCAAGGGCCTGAGTTCAATCCGTGGTTCTGAAAAAAAAAAATACTACATGAGATAATGTTAAAAATAGTACAGTATATGGGACTAACTCTAATGAAATATATAAGTCCTCTAAAATTAAATATACATAAAATATAGAATAAAATTAAAGAAACAAACTCAAATGGACCATGAATTTGAAGTTTTATTATTTTAGTATGTATAATGTCCTCAAGCATAGATAGATAGATGGATGGACAGGAGATTCTAGAAAGCTATGGAAGCTGCTTTTATGTTTAATCAATTTTTCTTTGTTTCATTTTCAAATTTCGGTTATTACACTGTCAAGCTCATTATGCTCTTCTGCTGCGTTTAGTATTCTATGAATCCCACTCCACGTATTTTTCATCTTAGATTATGTAGCTTTCATGTATTTCATATTTCATAGAGTTTGTTTCTGGAAAAAACTAATATTCTCTACCTTATTGAACAAATAAGCTACACTTTGAATTGGTGTTTTAAACTTCTTGTCTGGGAATTATATTATCTCTGTCATGCTTGTCTTTTTCCTGATGACTATATTTTTCTCTTACCCTGAGTTTTTGTACTGGTATCTACACATTTCAAATTTCATTTTATGTGATATCAGATAATTTTATTTTCCCTTTTGTAGTTTTATACAGGATAGAAACATGTTCATTTTGGAGATGTGGATGCTAATTCCAATGTATATGAGCAGACTGAGGAAATTTTACTAAAGTAAGGGAGTTTGATTTGAATATTGTTATAGTATTTAAGAAACGGCTTATAAGAGTTCCTAGAAGAATAATGTTTTGGAGTGTCTCATTGATTCTTGATAATTGCACAGGAATTATCTACTTATACTGCCTTTCTTGGTTTACAGATTATTTTATATTGGAAAGCAATTCTATATTGAAGCAAGCTCTCCAAAAGAAGAAGACAGTAAAGTCAGAAATTAAAATTGTTCATATCGATGAATATGGTAAAGTTTTATGCATGCTGTGTTATTCTAAAACAACTTTTTCTATATCTTATAATTTCATATGTAAATGATTCTACATCTTTAATATTTTGCTCTTTCTTTAAAAGAACTTCCTTTACAGTTGTCCTTGCCCAAAGATTTTATGGAACGGAACCAGTATGCTCTTCTATTAATAATGTAAGTATTTGGTTTGTTTTTGAAATAAAGGGATCTAAGCTTTCATAATTACAGTGCATGTGCTAACATGCCGCAGAAGTCATCACTAGTCTTATGTGTGTGGTTAACTAGGGCAGCTGCTGCTGCACGAGTTCTTAGAGTCCAGCATTGCTTTGTGCACAAGGATGCATAACTTTGGTACATCTTCAGTCTCGTAAAGAATTTGATTATACTTACAGGAAAGAGACACCAGATAGTTTGGAATATGGACGTCTATGCAGCAACTACTCAAGCTGGATGCTTTTGATCAGTAGTTCCTCTGACATTAAAGAAAAGTGCATGTACACTGCTGAAGCAATTGGCCATGTTTGTGTCCTATGACTTTCCCTTCTTGCACTGATGGCCAGAGGAAAGCAACCCCTATACCCAAAGAAAACTGACTTTAAATTTTCAGCCTTTGAGTTGACTTTGGAGTTCAAGTCATCACACTGCTACTATGAGATTACATCATTAGTGTGTACCATTAGGCAAGGAGGCCCTTAACATCTAAAGGGTGACTAAGCTAGCACTGTATTTATAAGTCACTGGTTGTTTTAATTAAGAACCTAGGTAGAATATTGATAACATAGTACTTAAAATTGTCCAGAATTTTATGTAGTACATTATCAAGAATAGTAAAAATGGTAAGAATAGTATTCCTTGTGATTACAGGGAGAAAAGAATAATTATTCATTCTGGGAATGAGATTGCTGAGTTTAAAGTCTAGTTTGGTACTTGCAGACTTTATTTCCATGAGCAAAATAATGATAATTATTATAAATAGTATCATTTTTGTATTTAGAAGTATTATATAAATATTTAATGCGTGATTTAGTATTTACAAAGTTATTCAATATGTAGATATTACAAAAGCAGATAAAGTATAGTCCAACACATAGAATTTGCTTTGTAACTTTATTGGCTGTTGAAAGAAAAAGTAAAAACTTAAATTATATTCAGTTAGTTTTTTAGCTTCTCATTACACTAAATATTAATTTAGTTTATTCATCCCTTTGGTTTTCAGGGCAAATTCTTGTGATTTATGTTGAATTTGGTGTCTCAGCAACCTTTTGCTCATTGCTAGGACAAAATACCTGACACCCAAAATTAAGAAATGAAAGGTTTATTTAGTTCACAGTTAGTGGAGATTTCAATCCATACTCAGCTGGCTCCAGGGAGAGTAGCTTAAAGCAGAAGGCAGCATTCATGGCGACAGAAAGCAGGGAAGAGCAGAGGAAGGAGCAGCAGCTGTGGCATCTATCGGGCCTCTTTCCCTTCCTTCCACATGGACTTCAAAGACTAGAGCTCTTCCAAGGAAGTGGTGGTGGCTGCGAAGATCAAGAGGAAGTGGAGCTCAGAAATCGTCTTCAACCCCATTATATACCCTTTCTGTGCTGAGTTACTGCAGGGCAAGTCTTCCCAGAGGGCCCTCCCAACCTCAGGGTGTGAAATTTCCAAACAGAACCAGCCCAGGCTTCAACTCCCCCAGTTGACACAATATATCAACCACCACATATGGCATATAAAAATCAAACAAAGGATTTTTGCTTTAATTCACATTTATAAAATATTCTAACATTTAAAGAACAACCCTAAAACATTTATATTTGGAGACATAGATGGGATGGAATGGCATAAATGCATTGTTACTTAAGATTTTTTTTAATATTCAAAATTTGGAGGTATACTTTTTTAATCTTAGGGCTTTTTAACTTTTTGGTGACAAGTTGACATAGCACACTAATTAGCAATTATAGTTAACCTTTTTTTCAGAGTAAGCAATTATTGCCGAGCAATGGAGTGCTATTACGTAAGGACAGAGAGATGATGCAGTGATTTTGACGTCACTCATCTGTTTCTATTCCAGTAGTGTATGCAATCATTGGCATGCTGTGTCCTTTACTCATCTGTAGAGGAGTTAATATCGGGGAAATTTTCTGTTGAACACCTGAGGGCAAGTCATATCATTGTAAGAAGGAAAGATGGGCCTGGAAGGAAGTGACCTCTGCTGATTCAGAGCCCCTTCTGCCAGCCCCTCATTGTGGGGCTCAGAAGTGGTGCTCCAAGGACACCTCTTAGCCATGGGCTCTACAGTCTTACCTAGTTTCATGTTATACACAGCACAAGTCAGTCAATGGGCACTGACTATTTCTAACATAGCAAAATGTCTAAGAGGTTTTACTATCACATGAGCAACCTGGGTTTTAATGTGGTCTCTGTGGAGTTAAAATCCTCTTTCCACAGATTATTCCTCTATTTCACCCTCCAAATGCTTATTTGCAGCACTTTTCTGTAGTAGTCTTTCTGTCTAATATTACAAGGAGTTCTTAAGGTGTGGCATTCTTTATTCATCACTAATTTTGTATATATTCCATTATCTATTTCAACTTTTAGAACATTAGATCATTTTATATTTTTTTAAATATTGTTCGATTTGTTACTCATGCATCTGAAATTTGGAACAACACATATTTACTCTGGTGATTCTATGTGTAAGAAGCTAGATAACAAGAACTCCAAATACCTTAAAGTTTGAAATTGACTTTTATATTTATTCAATAAATAAATGCCACTGTAACAGACAAACCTGAAAACTTAAAGACAACTGTGGTTCTGCAATAGTCCAAGACTCAAAGAAATGTTACAGCTGTTCATTGAATAAATAAACTTAGATATAAGATGTGAGCACTGTGGTAAAAATGGTAGAAGAAATCTAGAAAGTTATAATTATTTTTAAAACATATTTTTTGAGGTATTGCAGGAGGAGGAGTCATCTCTGTGAACAGTAACAATGTAGAAGTTAGTTCAGCACCGTTCCAGGGTCGACATAGGTGGCTGGGGGAGGTGATGGCCCTTTGTTCCCTCTCCCTGACTTTGTGTTCCTTAACTCTCAGGGAATCCTTGGTTAGCATCAAAGGATTTCTGCTTGAAGTTGTCTTCCATCCTTCTTCTAAACCTATATGCACAATGTAATTCAAAATTTAGTGGGTACTTGCATACAAATGCATTAGTGTAAACACACATTGTCATTATCCCTCCTCAGAATAGCTCACTTTAAATACCCCAGTGCTGTCTCTCTTGCCACTTTCTGGAGCAGTTCTGGAAGTCCCTTAGGCGAGTGTCTTTACTTGTGCTGTGTGGTTGTCTTGGTGTCCCGAATCCACTCAGCGTGCTTCTCTTTTTGATCATTTTGACTTTGGGGAAGAGCTAGCAGTGGTGGTGCCAGATGTGGTGAAGAAAATGGAAAATACTCACTGTAATATCTTTATGAGCCTGCATTCCCATTAGATGGCACCCAGCAGTAGCATTCAATGTATTTTTATAATAATTCATAAACATATTCACAAAAGAAGACTTCCAGAACTGCCTCAGAAAATAGCATAAATGATGGAGTGGAAGTATTTTGAAGAGAATTAATGGGTAAGTGTTTTTATTGTAACGTACATTTTAGGTTGACTATGCACTGAAATTTTCTAGCACCTGGTGTGTGTTTTATTGCTTTCCCCAACATCAGCTCTTTCGATAGCTATAGCCAAATAATTATATTAACACTTTTCTACTCTAACATTTATGAGAATATTTTTAGTATGCTTTGTGGGAAATTCTTGACACACAGGTTTTTAGTGAGACCTAAGTTTTTGAGGGAAGATCTCAAAGTGAGTATTTAAAAAAATTACTCAGGCTTGTTAGAGGTGTATTTCAACACCTTATAGAGACACAGATTTTTATAACCTTTATTTTGTGCATTCAGTGTATTGAGCAGCATCTAATTCATTTCCGTATTTCTGACAGCAACTAGTTCTGGCAGTGAGTTACTCTAGAAATATGCATTGAGTGAACAAATGGATGGTGTTCCAAAACTAGATACACTTGGTCACCATTATTACTTTCCCATTCAGTCATACTGACCAGGGAGTCACTCCTTTTTATTTGGTATTCATATCACTCATGCAATGTTTTATACTTCAGCGTACTATAAGCAGGTCATCTTCATAAATGAAATGTTTATGAGCTCTTTTCTGTAAAATTATCATGTTAAATAACATATGATTAATTGATCTATTCATAGTGAGTAAAGTGATCCAGTTATTTAGGTCATCACTTTTTTAAAATTGCCCTTCATTTCCTTAAAGAATGTGAAATGTGTGATATTGTGATTAACAACCACATCATGTTACCCTATTTTCTTGCCTCAGTGTCTGGTATCATGATGTCTCTTGAGAGTTCACCCTCTTTTCCAAGCACTATAACAGTCAGATTCCAGTTTGTCACCCTTCTCTCTCTCCCTCTCCCCCCCCTTTTTTTTTTAATGTTTTGCTTTGCTTTCCCACCTACTCCCCTAGTTGATTTTCTACTCTTCCACCAGCAGATCCTGGCAGAATCCATGTGTGAAAATGTAGATTTTGCAACGGCCAGCCCCAGTTCTAAGAGCAATTTTGTATTATAGATACAAAAATCTAATTGTGGGAAGACCCATCATTTGATCATTCTGCTTATGTGTTTCCTAGTAATACATCCCACAAGAGGTTTTGCTCTCCTTACCCAATTTAAAAAAATCTATTAATCCTTTGAGACATACTTCCAGATAACTTTACCCTCACCTCTATTATAAACATTTAACTATAATAAATAATAATAAATGTTTTGTTGTTTCTTCTGTAAAATTGGAAATTTCTGGATAAGAACACATTGTATTATAAAACATGAACTAGCCATTATTCATAGCCTAGTAAATAGTGGCAGAATGACTGAAATAATGAATAAATGAGTACATTAATAAAAAATAAACATTAATCAACCTGAGCTTTCATCAAAAGTAAATTAAGTTAGGAAAAAGGGAGAAACAATTATTTGAGAGCAGGGATTGGGGGTTCAATCATTGGGCCTGCCGTGCCAACCCCACTTCCCAGGCATGCTGAGATGGCAATTGAGACTGGGCATGGTAGTGTGTGCCTGTAATCGCAGTTCTGGGGAGGCTGTAA